TCAGACACATCAAATCTTTTCGCCGCTGTGTGAAATATGAATCTCGTGTCAGAACATTTAAAAAGACGTCCAGACTTCATTCATTAAACATGACTCACGCCGTCATGTGACCGGCTGACACCCAATCATAAATGATGCAAGAGCTGCCCGCGTGTTGCTAGGCGGTTTAACCCCAGCGTCCTCCAGCCTCCGAGGACTCTTTCTGAACTGTCAGAACCAGGACGAGAGGCAGAGACATAATATTCATTTACATCCAAATACTATGAATAAAATGTTTTAATTATACAGCAGTAAGACCCCGCCCCCTGGAGAATCACGACCGCTGGCGGATGTGAATGACTCGATTAAATCTTCTTCTTCTATAATCGAGTGACCGTGCAGCAGGGTCACTGGCTAACGGACTCTGTGCTGCAGTTTACTGTGAACTGGATTCAGCTGAAGTCTGTTTCCCGTCAGTGTCCATCGTGCTCATTATAATAAAGTTTCATGTGAAATGTAAACGAGCAGCTCTTTAAATAAACTAGCTGGTTATGAAAACGAGGCCATTTGGAAACATCTCGTACAGTTCGTCCAGCGCAGAGAGGAAGCCGAATATTTGTATTCATCTTTTGTGTCGACAACTTTAGAAATGTGACAGAAACACGAGCCTTCGTCTTAACTATGTTTTCAAACAGCTGATAAAGTGACGCTAACGTTAAATGAACCTTGTTCCAATCACCAGCTTTGACTTATCTACCTGAGCTAACTTCTCTTGTAAAGCTAATAACATATTGCTAATGTTAGATTAACCTTAATCCCGACCGCAGGCTCTGATTTGGCTCGTAAATCTAATGTGTTGCTCACATTAGTTAAATGTTCTACCTGATAATTAGCTCTGACTTAGCCACCTTAGCGAACTCCAGCCGTCGATACAACCACACTGACAGAAAAAGGCAAAGCAGAAGAAGAAACTTGTCACCAGAGGTTTTTTTTTATGGGGAAAGTCACAGTAAAATAAAGCTCCAGCTCTCCGCAGCTTCAGTCTCACGGGTTTCAGTGTCAGAAACCTGCCGAAGAGAAGTTCTGATCCTCGGAGGGAAGAGAAATGAAGTCGAGTCAGATCTGATCAGAGCAGGTTTGAATTATTAGAGCAGGTGAAAACATGAAAAACCTGTTAAAGAGACTTGAGACGTGTCCGAAGGAGACGAGGTCAGAAACACTGAGTGGAGAAGATGACATGTATTAATGATGAGAGAGCTGAGTGGACACACACACACACACACACACACACAC